TAGTATGTTAGACACCGTAACTACCAATTTCAAATTGTATACCGGCCGGGAATATAAAAACATGTTGCTTATGGATTATCTCACGTGCCCCTGGGGCTGAAGGTTGACAAGCAGAGATCCAGAGGCAGTATTTGTTTCCAGCTTTGGCTCCGGTCTGACGGCCTTGACTATTGCGGAATTACGAGTGGAAAATGTCAATGACCCGTTACTAGGTCAACTCAAATAGTATGTGCAACAGTGATGGCCTAAGGAAAACAACGACCCCAGTGCGTTTATTCAATATTATGCAATTTGAGATGACCTGTCAGTGCTAGATGGTTGTTTGATGTGTTTTTCGGTGTTTATAGCTCCACGTCAGTTGGTACACCAAGTAATAGCACGTACACATGAGGTACACACGGATATCATTTGGACCGAAAACCGAGCGAACAACTTCCTTATTTATCCTTAAATGGTACCTGGCGTTGAGGCATGTTTGAAGAACTCTAACGCTTATCGCGTAGCGGACAAAACTTCCCTGCCGGTCAAAGCCTCAATACAGCCTATTAGTTAACCGTAGACGCCATGGGCTAAGATCGCCATTGATATTATGGGTCCTTTTGCTACCTCCCCTAAAAATAAGAGAACTCTACTTTTAGCTACGTGTTTTTACAGTGAGTGGTCTAATGCCAAAATGTGCAACCACATGACTAATTCGGTAATGTAACGCTGGCTTAACTAGTTCTTCCGTCGTTAGGGACTGCCGGAGAAAGCAGTCACGGACACTGGACCGCAACTTTGTAGCCACAACTTCGTAGTTTTCCTCCAGTGCTCTAACATAAAGCATTGCAGTACTGCACCTTACAATCCTGCGTCTAATGGCATGGTCTAGCGGCTAAACCGATCCATCAAGAAAGCCATACACGCCATTTAATTGGAAGGGACCGATTGGGAAGATGCTCTCTAATCGATGTATATTCTTACAGAATTAGTGATCACAGGACAACCGGAAGTAAGCCGACGACGCTGATGATTTGAAGGCCCTTACGCATTAATCTAAATGCTGCACGTGAACTGCCATCTGCGGGATTTGCAAAATTTTCAAATCGCATAGCACTTTGCCATCATTCTTATGCCAAATCGTCAATTTCTATGCAGTTGGAGCATACGTTCGCGTTACAAAACGGAGAATAGTCCCAGAGATTTATCAATTGTAAAACGGCCTAAATGTTAACGCACCTCGGTTGCACACAGCCCATGGGCCAGCTATCCAGCCTCAACTAATTATGTGTGAACACCAAGCCAGATCGCCGCCACCGCGAAGTCAGCCTCGCCGGTCTGCCGGACCTTAGAATCTTGCCGATCGACACCAGCCCGCCCGACAACATTGTTCAGAATGGGGGGGTATTTGTTGTGGTCGGTTTGTCAGGATGTCCCTCCTACTCATGATTCACTGAGTGGCTGAAACGCAGCCAGTCTCTTCTCATTGGTCGTATAAAATCCGGAAGGTTAGGATTGTCCATTTTGTGAGTTGAGTCGGTTACCACCTCTTATAGTAACGATACGCATACTGCATTTTATGCTGATTTTTGTGCAACAGGGAAGCATAGGTTTAATATTATTAGCAATGGTAATTTAATAGTAATATTTATAATAACAACGATATTAAGTATTTAGTATTCGTTATCACGATGTATTCAATGCCACCGAGGTGCCTCAAATAGGCTGATATCTAACCGTCCCTTGATTCGGTACTGGCGTTACGCTGACAATCTCCCAACCAAATGCGATGCTTCCTCGCTTCAAGCACATTGTTTTTAGTTCGGCCAGAGGCCGGATTTAGAAATCGACACACTGCTTGAAGACGACGGTTGGTAGCCTGTCACATCCGCACGCATACCTGCGTGCAGCTGAGTCAGTTTATTGTGCAGTGATATCAGGAATCTGTGGACCACTGAAAAGTTGCTGACGAGGAGTTTTAGATTGAATCACGCGGTGCAACAGAAATCATGATTTAATTCCTCTACATCCACAGATGATTTTGTACCATGAGGAATGACCCCGCTGCGCTTTTTTAAGATAAACGAAGCAACACGATAAATGTTGTTTTCATGGAATTGTATAGACATGGAAATGCCTGAGGCCTTGCAACTACTTACATAAATACGATCAGAAATTTAGTTAAATATAAAGCTTGATTTTTGACCTTGATGACTCTGTCCTTGCGTCCGGAAATCTGCAGTAGAGAAAACCGATCAGCACAGGTAAATATGTTTTCTGTAGTTCCAACGTGTGACTTTCTACTAGGGGCGAGAAGTCTCCTGACAGTGTTTGTCTTTCATCAGTCTCAAGAAATTCGGACTAGGCCGCATGAACAAAACGCACAGCTTTTCGTTACCGAGCACGGGTCGCAAAATCTGATCAAATGTTGTTTTGGACACCTTTTGCCGAAAAGTGTTTACTTTCATGGCAAAAGAGTGCATCCGCCAGAGTCCGTTGTCTGTGCAACCCTAGTATCCTTGGTGAACAATGGTCTGTTACTTATTTCGGATAGTATGATACCTTGATACTCATTCTGAAAATATTTTTTACCCAGTTAGCAAATGCCTACGTGCTTACAGCCTCGAAGCGGGTGTCCATCGAAACACATCTGGAACTCGACATGGTCACAAGCTAAGCCTTTGCATCAAAACGAAAAACGGTTTTTAGCATAGCCATCAAGAGAGTAGCTGACCGCAACGTGCTCACTTTGCTTCCTTAGCTAATTAGAGACTGGGGACCCTATTAAACTGAGGATTCAAAACGAACGACATGATCTATTCCGTTTTTTATTGGGCTGCGTGCATTCAGGTGGCTGTGCCAGAAAATAACCACGGAACAAAATACTTGTTTTAAATACTGTGAACGACTACTTTCTAAGTCGAAGAGAGTAGAAGCCACGATTAAAATTCACGCACAATAATATGCCTCGACGGTGAGTCGAACCCCGGTCCACGAATTTCTGGTCCGCTGCTCTACCACCTGAGCTACCGAGGGCTGACGATTAGGTGCGCAAATTTTAACACATTAATCTACCATCGCCCATTGGACGTCTGAAGGACAGGAACTTCGGTCTATTGGGAAGTGACGGGTGAGTGAGCCAATCTGCAACATCAGGACAGGTACTGTGAGCTTATTGGCAACACGTCGCGCACCAAGCAGAAGACATGTGTTAAAATTTGCGCACCTAATCGTCAGCCCTCGGTAGCTCAGGTGGTAGAGCAGCGGACCAGAAATTCGTGGACCGGGGTTCGACTCACCGTCGAGGCATATTATTGTGCGTGAATTTTAATCGTGGCTTCTACTTTCTTCGACCTTTACACTACTCACAAACATCCACCATTACTTTCTAAGAGTCATTATCCGCATCTATGCGAATGATCTTCGGCTGTCTTTATGTTCGCTTGCCTTGTTTGTGTCTACATTGTTACGTATTTCGTAGCATGCAATGATGTATTCGATACTAAGATGTGTATGCTCACGTGGGGTTTGCTATTTGCTTATTTATGTAGGAAAATGAATCGCAACTTTATTTGGGCTATGGTGGGTTGCACACATAATTTATTTATTTTTCTTATCGGTTTGATTGCTTTACTGATAGCTCACAAATAATTGCGAAAGCAGAATATCGGGAGTTTACTTATTTTATTTTCACAGTCCTCATGTGACTGTGCTATCCCGTTGTTCTAGTACATTACCTGTGGAGTTAATGCGGACAGTATTACAATCGCATTATTCAACGCTATTTTACAGAGCGCACCAGTCCGGCGAAATCAACCACCAGCGCAACGAAGAAATCAATCAAAGTACAGAATTAACAGCCACGATGCGTGAGATCCATTAACTTCTCTATTAACTCTTACTTTGGTTCATGGCCTCAAAGTCCCTAGCATTAGACGGTTGCCTCTAACGATCGTAGTTTGTGGACCATAACACATTTTCCTGCGAATTAACTAGGCAATAGTGTCAACCTCTAGCTGTTCACAACTGCATACGGCATATAATCAAATCTAGGTACGGTGATGTGGAACTCCTGCGAGCGCCTGTGCATCCTTTGTTGACCACAAGTGCACAGTTTTCTCGTTATTCATGTGTCCGTACGACGTCTGCATAGAATACGGAGAAGGTGCGAAAAAACGACGTCATCATTTTATCACCAAGTTATCGACTTGGGAACGAAATGCATTAAGTAAGGCTTTCCAATATTTCAATGACTCAGGATATTTATATTGCAAACATAGCACTCCGCTTCCCTAAACTTCAACCTGTTCAGACAGTCGATAAATGAAGGTATTAACGCGAATGAGAATTTATTAAATTAATTAGGCACTATGAATGAAATCACGAAGCGCCTAACCTATACTTCCGTGTCTGGACGCGATTTGATGTAGGCAGCCAGATTCACATTGCTGTTGATCACTTTCTCGCGGTATTCAAGTAGTTTCGGGTATTTTTCTTTCAACAGAGCTTCGTCGTTCTTGAGGACATGATCCAGTGTTGCCAGAAGACATAGATCACCCAGGGTCAACTTGTTACCAGCAACAAACTGCCCGTCAGATTCGGTAAGCGATTGAGACAGGAGCTGAAATCAAAGGAGATTTGTATAACTGAAATGTCTATACTCGGCATGGAGCTCTGCATTTTTTAATTCGAGGCAGGTAAGTCAGCTAGAGTTGCGCAATATTTTTGCACTGTTTTGGCATGCTGTGGTAATTTATAGTTAGTTCTACAGGACAAGCGAGATAGTTGCGAAAGTCCTCCCTTATCATGCATTCAATTACTAAGCGGCAGTGAATAAGTGCAGTGAGTTAATGTGCATGGGAGTCCCGTGGTAAATTTACAAGTTATCTACAAATCCCTAGTGTTACTTGGCTATTAATCCTCCATGAGCACAACCTCTAATGGCACGACGAAGGTAATCACTTGTTGTTTTTGTAAAAATGCAGATCTGAACATCGTAACTGACCTCAAAATATACTTACATCGAGTATTTTCTGAATCGGTCCCTTGAATGCGTCTTCGATAGCCTGTTTTCTTTTGTCCTCTGATACGTGGAAAGCGTCATATAACTCCTTATCAAAGTCACAGCACTGGAGGACAGATAGAAAACGCGTTTGTAAAAATAGGATGTAACTAGTAAATGATTCTGGTTTACACTCTTGAATAGCGGTTGTTTTACTCAAGTACCTCAGCATCGCGCAAGTGCAAATATCGATGAATGCCGGAGTAAAGCTATCAGGCGTACAAGACAGTTCCATCCAGCGTAGGGATAACACATTTGCCTCGAGGAATTAAGGTATCAGCTACCTCTGTGTACATCATTCCAAACACGCAAGCATGAACAACACACAGCTCATGTGGATCGAACTTAAGCACCCCTGAACGGAAACGAGTTTCGTTACGCAAATTAGGATGCCCTAAGTCATCGATCCACTCAAGTCAACTCCATTTAATATGTCAATAACAAACCTGTCCAATGATTCTGTCGATTAGATAGTTCTCTTCATCCGTGTCACCCATCAGTTGGAAACGTCTTGCCAAGAATTGAGCGATGGCCAGGCTTTCTTGATAATATTTTGGTTTGGCGTCTCCGGGTTTGGAAATCAGTAAGACTGGTAATCTCCCTCCCGGAATGGAGGCTTTTCTAGCAAGCCAGTCGCTATATTCCATGCGCTCATCTTCGAACGGTATCCCTGCTGCGTGTAATACCAACCGAATAGGCTCCGCACGACCGCGGACATTAAAGTAGATAACCTGCGGACATAGGTAGTAATATCGGTTGATGCTACCGAATAGTGGTTAAGGAGAAGTAATATATCATGTAAGTGCCTTGTGCAATGTTACATGCTGGACTTACCTTGTAGCTACAGTCGGACATGTTTGTCAGTCCAGTTTCTAAGGGTTGTTTCGTTCTCCAATTGTATATATATTTCTGATCAGGTGCTGTGTGTCATTTTGTCATCAGTGTCTTGATTCGCTGCGTATTCTTTGAGCATAACCGATCACTCTGATTTTTCGATAAACAGATCTAACTGAATTACACTGGTCGTAAACAATCACGATGACGCAAAATGAACCACACACGATGCTCCAGAACACGTTAGTACAGCTGTTAGTTTAGGTGATGACGTCGTAATTGCGCCTAGAAGTTATCACCAATCAGTGATTTTCTCAATTCCGAATGTGTGATCAATCGGCGGCACGCTGGTGCGAAGTACGTTGTCGCAGTATTCTCACTACCATTGTTAGCAGCCCTTGCAGGCAGAGCGGGGTCCGATCTCGATGGATAAAAATGGCCTATGGGGCATGCAACTGTTGGTTAAGTTATAACGTATAACGCTCATGGATTATACAATAAGGGCGACCCAGTAAGCTGTATTGCGTAAGTGCTTTGTGAATGCTCACTTGACCCCGCCTACGAGTTCACTTTATTTCACCGTCAACATTCCGTTTGTTTGAGCAATCAAATTGGGATGCGTACATTTATGCGGATGCCCACACTAAGATCAGACTGTCCAGTATCGCTGACCTTACAACCAGCCAGCTGGCTTCACTGATCCCGGATTTGCTTGAGGATCGACTGCTGTTTCTAAGCGCGTTGCGACTGCTATGGCTACTAGTACAGCAGCTACCAACACACCTACGCCTCAAAAAGTTTACCTCAGTTGATGCAAAATTACCTACAACCAACATGCGCCACAGTGGGAGCAAACTAGAATACTAAAACCCAAAGCAAATTAGAAGTATTTTAACTATAAATAAACAATTGGACGCCAAAGTTCGTCTTTCGTAACGTCAGTGAACGCATAAGCACGGATCTCGCCTTAGGGGTGAAGGTGTATAATCGCCTCATCATGTGTGTATTGTCCTTCTTGTCTGCTTCACGCAATTCTAAACGCAAACTAGTCATTATAACTTGAACCTAAAAGTCCTTTATTTCGTGGCCTGCTGGTTTAGCATAAGTGTTTGAGAAGGTTCTTTTCAGAGTAGCAATTCCTTTATGAGCCACTGCGTAAGCAATGTTACAGTCATCTCAGATTTAATCTTCATGTATGCTGAAATATTTTGTCGTATCCAACGTAGTGTCATGTGGCTCAATAGACTGTTTCTTATGGGGTGCTCCTAATGGACAAGACACTCGGAGCCTTCGGTCACCGACCCAGTCACCACCAAGTACTAGGCAATACACGGCGCAGAATGGCGTTTCGCATATATTCCCTGCGACCTTCCGGTATGACCTTGACCTCTTCTATTTCTCCCATATCAATAATAGCATTAGAATGTCAGAAGATTCATCCGAACGACGAGTTATGGACTTTCTAAAAAATGTTGGTTTCTGTCCACATAGAGTTAACTGAGCTATTTCATAAAAGGTGATCCTGCTAACATAATTATTAAGCTGAGAGACCGTAGACTACTTGTCTAGACAGGGTCGTACGAGAATGTGTAAACACCCGCACAAAATTGCCATAAACAAGTACGCGTCCTATTCTCGCCTTGCTTCCTGAGGTTGTAATTTGGTTCAAATATATGAAATTGACTGTATAAAGTGTAACTACTGGTACTTCAGGTAGTCATTGATGTCACATAGTACCCTATCGGTTCGTTTATCTTTACTGCAAACCGATTGTTTCCTCTTTCCGTCAAATGTCATGTTGACTTACATGTCAAAGAATAGAGGCATGTTTTTCATCCTAGATCCCATTGTCAAAGGAATGTCGTTCCTGGTGTCCATGAGCAAATTGGATGCGATGTAACTTGACTGTGTTTTAGTAACACGAAACTACCATCGACATATCAGATCCATAATTTAGGTTGATTGTGGGCAGTGTAATCTTATCAAATGTTTGTATTGCTATCTCAGTAATAAGTCATGGTACGGAAAACTCACCGGTGCTAATTTCTTTGCTCACGGATTTGTCAATTAAATTTGAAGTAGATCGCAAGGTGGAGGTGAAGCAGCCTGCAAAGAACGTCGGTCGTCATCAATTCCATTATTTTCTTGCTTTCGTCCAACCGTGCAGCAATTTCATGCTTTGTCGTCTATAAATTGACAGATGATGGTTTTCCCATTGGGAAAATATTTAATATGTGGCCGATCTAACAAAGAGTAGGAAAGAAGCCGGTCTGGTTATCAGTGATACGACTCTCAGGAGAAGCAGCTTAACCGTCCCATAATGATGCTGGTTATAAGTTCGAAAAGTACGCGTAGTAAAGCCAACGTGTCGACGACTTTTACGTTATGTCCTTTGGCCATATTTACAGATGGATAAGACAATCGAGTCATCGATTTGAAAGTGCATTATTAGTGTCTCAGTAAATGTTGAACAACACGGCAAATGTAATCGAAATAATTTCACACATATTGTCGACCAAACGCTAGAGAAGGTAGTGGGGTTTAGGAGACTTTTTAGTTCCAAGGTGCCTAATCTCTTATGATAATCTTTGACATTTTAGCTGTGTAAGCCGAAAGCATTTTCCTGCATTGGTCAAAGTCAAAGGCACAAAATAATGTTGACAGTGGGCATCCCTTTCTCAAACCTCTGCATATGAAGGAGAGTTGCGATTCCTTTGATGTAAGCTGTCGTTTTATTCTAAATACACACTTAAATCATGTGACCTAATTTCCTCCATGATAAGTAAGCCGCCAATGAGAAGCCTGTAACATTTCGGAGAAAAGTGTGTTCAAATTTAGTACTCACAAAATGAATAAATGAGCGATTTGAAAAATGAGCAGAGACCATAGAGTTTTGACATAAATTAATCTTACCGGTAACATAAGCTTAATAATTGGCGTAGCATATACATGTACCTTTACAGCACCAAATTAACAATCGTTGACCTTGCGAACTATAGGTGCTTCTAGTTTTACAATGATCAATTATGATATTTGTGGCATTTAGTTATAAATAGGGTTTAGTCCTTATGATAGCACTAGTGATCGCATGACAATAGCTACAGAGTTTAACAAAATGTCTTTATTAGACATAGAATTACACCACCTTACGTAACAGTGCAGCCAGTAGACTTGCACCTTTGCTGGCGACCTCCAAAAGAACCGTTTGCATTCAGGTGATGTGGAAATTGTCAGGGGACTTTGATTTCCTGTGATCATTAGGTTAGGCAAATCTACAAAGTCTTTATATTATGTATACCAAAGCGAGTCGTTTTTAGTGCAACATATTGTAAATTGCATGCAACATGCCATCGATATTAACCACAATATTTGGAATGTTTTCCGTGGCGTTGTTAGCTCTGGTTGCGGATGACATACATTAACCTAATGTATATAATCCTGCTTTCAGCGTAACGGTGTCGTCTCTATTCAGGGAGTGGATCTTTAGATTCGCCAGCTGTGACTCCATCTCACATTGCCCGGCCATCGTACGAATCTTCAGTGTCTCCACGGTCCCTTGCATCTTGCTTTCATGCAGTAAAGTTGAATCGACTAATGAACGGTCTTATCTACTTACCATCAACGCTAGCGTTGGAATTGTGTCAGTAGGACCAGAAACTGCAAGTACGCCTATGGATACATTCGAAGTAAATATATAACGAATAGTAAAATCAAAACATTGGGCGTCATCTTTTGTGAGGTTCTTGTCACTCTGATTAGCAGAGAGCAGCAGATGATGTGAATGTTTAGAGCAATGTAAGCCACAGTTCCTGCATGAACTGCAGCTGAGATAATCGTGGCTCGGCTTCAAGCATAAATGGTACATCCGTTCTGTAAGACAAAATTTTAAGCATTCTTGGCACCTATCATTGCGAAAGTAGTCACACTGAAGTCAGTAGTGGCGTTTTTTGCAGGAAATGAACAGTGATTGCGTTGAGATGGCCTGCAATATCGAGATGCTTCACAGCCGTACCTTTCTCAGCATCGGATGATAAGTCATGCGACCGAGAGGCAAATGACAGATGTGTCAAGCATGTCCGCAACCTCAGGCACAAACTCTATTATTTCGATGAAGTTTTTAAATTCAAATGGTGTAGCAACAAAAGTAGATGCTCATGGTGGTTTCAATTATGAAAGCTTCGTTGATCCATTTTCGACTTCGGTGTACTATTGGTCTTTTGAGTGAGCCAAATTAGCACGTGCAGAACAGGTCTTGCTCAACAAAACAAGACCCACGCTAGCATAATCACTGAGCCGGTCAGATGTAACACAAAAGGAAGAGGTACATTGTAGTCTAGACGTTAACTGGGGGAAATATAAAAGTTTAAGAGAGGGTATGATTAGTAATTTAAGGGGAAAAGAACTGTATGCGCATAGTTTAGATAGGGTGAGGATTTAGAGCAAACTCTCTCCACCCTTCAATATATCCAAGATTAACCGCTGTCGACTTTCCTCTTTCGCTAACGATGGATCCATGGAAACAGCATTCGTTGAACACAATCTAGGTGGTGAGGATTTACTTCCTAGTGAGCGACTTTTCGACTTGAAGGAGCGGACGACATGGCCCAAATATGCGGCAGCGTCCAAATGTGCCAGGCTGCACTGGATAGCTTAGCATTAACTGTCAATCGTCTTGGGCTACCCTTTGCTCTATCGAAATGCAATGCTGTTTCTCAATAAACCACGTATGCGCTGACATTTGGTGGTGATCAGCTGGAAGTTGTTCAGGAATTAAAGTACCTGGGCGGCAATATTAACGCTTTTGGGATTGATACTGTGATTAAGCACCGTATAGCGATTGCCAATCTCCGTTAGCTGATATGCAGACGCGAGATGACTCGCAGAGAAGGGCAGAGTTTATATTGCAACCGGCCGTTCAACCTTCTGCCACGGCTGTGAAACCTGGACAATCAGGTCGATCGACATAAAGAGGCTAGCTAAGTTCGATAATCGCTGCCTCAACAGCTTAGCTCATGTTTGGTGGGAGCACGGCTTGAGCAATGAGCGTGTTCAGCGTCGTGTATTTGGTGCAGGGTGTACTCGTGAACCGCTCAGCATCACTATACTACTCACCAGGCGACGATGACTGGGCCACGTGTTGCACATGCCAGCACTCCCGAGATGCGCGTTTTTGTAAGCCGTGGTTGCGTTTGGAATAGAAGGAGGGGACTCCGAGAGATGAC